GTAGGCATGTGGACAGGAATGCATCTGTATATGTGTGTAAGTATATATATGATTAATTTAACTTCAATCAATGTGCCTGTGGTGTGCCACTAAAGTTCCCCTGTTTTGGACATTGCTAGTTTTATAATAAACCTTCCTTAAGACATACTATTGCAGTTTTAGGGTAGCAATAGGATGCCATTGGAGTCTTGATTTTTTTCTTACTCATGATAAGATATATCAGTAAGCGTGTGTATATATCACATAGCATGGAAAGACCTAAAGGTAGAGGGATATATATATATATATATATGCATATGACTACTTTTATTTCTACACTGTCTAGGGCCTGTTTTTGGACACAGGCTATCACTGTGATAGGTGTTACTCAGATGTATGACAAAACCATAATTTTTCTTCACGGAGGCTTTATAACCTCGGTATAAGACAAGAGACTGTGTTTAGGTGAGAAGAAAAAGTGAGGATGTGGTTTGAAGCTGAAATGGTAGAAGAGCTTCCTTTTTGCTGAAGTAAAATCTTGCTTTTTAAAGTGAATAGTTTCCACTTGAAAATTTATTTCTAGATTTATATTCTAGTTTGACAATCTAGAATAATTCAGTTGACATGCATTGGTAGTGGTGATGGAAGTAAGGCAGAGGCATGTCTTTCTGAAAAGTAGGAAATTGCAGGAAGTTCTTTCTTCAGCAAGAGCTGTCAGCTTCTACCACAGGCCTTGCCCTGAAGTGAAGAAGTCTGCAATGCCCAGCTCAAAATCAGCTGCCCAGAAGGGCTTTTCTCTCTGCCCTGCTCCACAAGGCTGGCAGTCACTTCAAGGTAGCAGTGCCTCATTTCTAAGGGAGAGTTGCAGTGTGGCATTCTCCCCCACATCAAACACTATCAGGAGATAACAACAGGAAACCCCAGACATCTGGAAAAGTGAAAAAATGTGGAACTGCTTGGAGTACACCTTTAGCCGAACCATCTGGTAGGCATCATGGAAAAGATTATTCTGATGAGATTTTGAAGGGAATGATGTGCTTAGGGTGATACTGTTTATGCAGAACTAATCTTGAGTGCAATGTGAAACGATAAGTGACTGTACTTAGCTATTTTGTGTGGTGTGTTTTGGTTTTTTTTTTTTTTTTTTAATCTTTTTGGGTAATGAATTGTGAAAGGTGACTGTTGTGATTTGATTCTAGTTGGGAGTGAAGCTCTTGGCACCAAATGAGTGTTCATAGGTAAAATTGGAAGAGTGCACAATAGCCCTTGAAACTGAAGACAAACAAGATAGAAAATGGCAAATCAGTCAAGGAGAGTACAGAGAAGATACGATTAGATTTTCCATTGAATCTAAATAACGTGAACTTGGACTCACACATTAACTTGTGTAGCTTCACGTGGTAGAACTGAAAAAACTGAGAGCAGGACTGTCAAGTGCCATGTGGTGCATCCTTTCCATGTGCTGGTTCTCACCTCTTGGCTGCTGGGGAAGAAGCTAGAGCTGAAAGGTGGTCCCTGTTATACTTCTGCTGATTTGTCTGAGAAGAAGCTTTGGTTAGATTTTGGAGGACTTCTCTGCAGCACCCAGCTTCTTGATTTCTCTGGTACTTTTGGGCTCTGGTGTTCAGCTCAGTAGGCTGTATGCATCTTAGCTTTGTGGCTCGTGAGATGGCTCGTGATAATTGTGTGCTGACGTGGTAATTTGTGCGTGGATGAAGTATGACTTATTAAATGTTGGAAGAGCTTTTTCCTCTGAGTATTTAGCACTGTAGTGCAAGAGAACCACAGAACAGAGTCCTCAATAAATAGTGAGGCAGGGATTTTGCTTGGGTTGGAGTTACTGAAGTATTGAACTGAACATTGCCTGAAGAGTTGAGATGAATTTTATCTGAAATGCAGTGTTCTGTTCTCATGTTCCTCTGCACTTAGAAGACAGCTCTTCTACTGTTTAACTGTTAAGTCTGGGTTGAATGGCACGTGAGTAACGAGTGGTAAACATGAGGCTAAATGTTAGTGTATGAACAAATCATTACATTCTTCAGTTTGTTCGTTGCACAATTCCATTTAATGACTACAGGTAGCTCACTCCAAGTTCCAAGTTTCATGCATCACCTTTTTTACCACTGTAAAAGAATGAGTGATGTTTATTCATTACCTCAAAGTCACTTTGTTGTGATGAGGAGCAATTTTGAGGATGTTAATAAAGCAAATGTGAAGGTACCAGAAAAAGTGTTTAAGGCTTTGATTATGTGAGCTGCTTATTTATGAAAAGAAGCACCGTCCATACTGCATGCATACTCATACATATTTATACACCAGTATATTTTAGATGTTAGCTGTGTCTGTACCTTTAGGCAGTTGTTTTGTCTTTTGTAATCATGTTACAATAATTAAAACATCACAGAAACAAACAAAACAAACCTCGTTTTAGTGTAATAGAGCTTATGATGCCTGACAGATGTAATTAATTTTTGCATGAAAAAGATACAATGGGAATGGTATCAAAACTATGCTAACCAAGCTGTGTGTCGAGGAGGCATTAAGGACACTTGAACTGCATGGAGCTTAGTGATACAGGACACATTTGGGTTTCCTCGTTTGTTCCTTTCCAGTATTTTGTTGTACTAAGAGGCTGCATTTGTCACATGGGAGCAAAGCCTCGTTACTCCCCAGCTGCTTTCTTTGCCTTATTTACTAAATTCTCTTTTACTGCAAATGGGGTCTTTTCTTTCAAAAGGTGCCAGCCATATTTTTTTCTAAATGTCTCATCAAACTTCGTGCAAACCCCAGGCTCTCACTGTGTGATTGACTTCTACAATTTTTTTTTGGACAGGTTAGCTGTATAGACTCTCAATACTTTTTTTTTTTTTTTAAATTTTTTTTTGGCTAGGCTTCTTGATTTTAGCTGAGATTTCTGAGTACTTTGCTGTATCCTCTGGTTATTGTATATTTTCTCTGAAGCTTGGGCCAGTACTTTTAGTCACTGGCCCTAGACCTAGAAATGAATGATTAAACATTCTGCTTTTAACTGTGCTTGTCTTACTGTCTCTAGGTGGACGTGATGTGAGAGTTGAAGAGCTATTTACGAGTGGTGCAGGCAAAATACAAATACTTTCCCAAGCCTTTTATAATTATTTTTTCCATTGTGCATTGATGTTATTTTTTTCTGTCTTATTTTTCAAAGTTACTGAAAAGGCTTACTAGTCTCTCCACGGGCTCCTTAAATTCCGCTTCCAGTGGAACCAGAGCTCAGTGTAGCCCCACAAAAGCAGGAGCAGATTGCCAGGGCCTGGCATTGTTGTGTCACCACAGTTCTCTAGATGCTGGATCCCGAGAACGTGTCTCCTGGGGTACCTGGAGTCAGTGTCACAAAGCATGAATGATACCACGACTTGCCAATTGCCATAGGGACAGGAGCAGTGCTCCCAACCAACGGATAAAAACCTTGCCGCTGCTGTTTGCAAAGCGGATTAAAAAGTGCCGGACGTGCGGAATCCATTCTCACAAAAGCAAATTATGCCTGCGAGTATAATTGACCACTGCAGACAATTTTTTCCTGACAAAAATTTAAGCAAACGCTCATGAGTTATTTGGCATGATGAAAAAAACCCACCAGCATGGCTCTTTTTGAGTGAATAAGGCAGACTTGGATCAAATTATCTAAGATTTATTGCGATACTTCAAATGACAGTCGTGTTCACATCTCAGGCACAGCCTAGGTCATCAAATGTTTGCTTGATTACATGTAAAAGTCACATGGGATACTGCTTTTTAAGGTCAGCACATGAGGATTTTGTGGGAATGCACTATATAGGGAGAAACTATTACTGAAATCATAATAGGGCTTCTCTACTGACCGTTTCCTGACGTGCCATTGGAATGAAGTAATTTTCAATTTTTTAATGTGTTTGTTTCCATTGTCATCAGTGTGTTATTCTAGCGGTTTGAGATGTGTGGGTCTGGATTTAAAACCAAAACAGACCCTCAAAACTTCTACAAATGTTTTTCTAGATCCTCAGCTAAGCACTCTGTTTTTTTTGCAGGGGATGAAAGGGCTCACAGACCTCTTAGTACCAAATGTTTAGTATCCAGTAAATGCTGTGGGATAGTTAATTGAGTATGCTATATGAGGAGGAGAAGATAATTCAGCTTTTCTTGTATGTAAGTAGTGGACCAGTTACAGTGTGTGATGAGAACGAGTGCAGCATAAAGAAAATGTACAATTCTCGTGTTAAAAACCAGCTGTCAGTCCTTTTCCCTTGCCTTGGTGAGTGCCTTGACCGTTGGCCTTACAAGGGAACTTTCATTCTCTGCTGATGAATCTTTTTATGAGCAAACATAAAACAGTTGGAACTTCACCTGCAGACGAGTTTGCTCTGATTGTCGGGACGGTGGCCAGGGAGGTGACAGTGTGAATCCTCTAAAGTGGAGGAGTGACCTGGATGCTCAATGTGTCTGAATGCATTTGATGGTTGGGCTGTTGCACAAAGGGAAGAAGCTGCTTCTTTCTCCTCTCTGTTGGAGAAAAAAAAAAAAAATCTAAAGCTTGTCGCCTTTTGAGAGGGAGAGAGGATCATTCCCTAAAGATACTTCAGCTCTTAATCTTCAATTTAAATCCTTAAATTCTCATGACTTTAATGGCTGTTTTAAGTGCTTAAGTAGGAATTAGGAGCCTACACACTTCAGCTCATTGTGCCTATGTGCTTGGGAAAATATGTGGAGAAGCTATCTCTGTCAGATGGGGTGAGGCCTCTAAGGCTGGAGCAGAGCTGGGATTTGAGCTAAACCCTTGCCATTACATTTTTTATGTCAGCTAATGTGGGCAACTTCCTGCTCAGCAGGCACACTGATGTGAATCTCATGCTGTGAATTTCCCCACTGTTATACATGGACCCTGGCATCTGCATCAGGGATAGAGATTTTGGTCTGGGAACTAGACACCTGTACATCTTAGGGAGCTAGTAACAGTTATTTGGGAGTTGGGACCTCTAAAAGAGCAGCTTGGATCTAAGCACTTGTTAGCTCTAAACCTATGTTATTCGACTAAGTAATTGTAATATTTGGGAAGATTGTGTGCATATTAATAGCCCATGGATTAAACACTTGCAATAATTAATTAAAGACAGCATGTGTAGTGCTCCTCTTGGCCAGCTCGGCACAAAGACCAAAATGCGGGTGCTAGTTTACAGAAGTGTCTATATCTTTAAAGATGAGGAAACTAAGATGAAGTGAGCCAAGACTTACCTGAAGTATGTTGTCTACTAAATGGATCACTCAATTGAGCAAAGAGATTTCATTAACGTACATATCAATATTCAGTAGATGTGATTTATGGTTGGTTCATATTATGAGCTGATGCACAGACAATTTTTTCTGCATGAGAGATGAACATAACTTGGGAATAGTCCTAGTTTAAGATCTTAAATTAGGTGCACAATGTCAGGTTCTGACATTCTAAAAGTTACAGCATAATTTCTTGTAGAATTTGATGTAACATTTGGATCAATTTTAAGGACAGGTGGGAGACCTCTGCGTTATATTTGAGTGATGAATGGCTTGAATGAGTGATGACCAACTGAAAGATTGCTCTTGTGCTTTACCAGGTTAATTTGTGCTGCCTATAGTAAGATCCTTGAAAACCTTGTAACCCATTGTCTTTACTGGTATTAGTGAAAGAAGGTAATAGGAAACAAAAAATGGGTGCTTGCTGTGTGCAAAAGATAGGGAAATGTCCCATCCAGTACTTGACTGCTTTCCTTAATCTTTGGGCTTAATTGTTCATAAAAAGTGAAGCCCCAGATAGAAAAATAAACAACCACCACCTCCCTCCCCAACAGTGA